ATTTAATGATGAATTACTAATAATGGAAAGAATGTTATAGTGAATTGATACCATGATCTGAAATTACATATTATCAATAATTAGTGCTACCACACAATACCTTAAGGGGGGGTCCCCCCATTTCCCAAGAACTTAGCCTTCCATGGTGTTTGCAGTCAGGAGCACGACACACGACAGACGGTTTTCACTCGTCTTACCCGCTTGCCTCCTTGCGCATGCGCGAGCAGCGGTAGGGGTTGAGATTGGCGGGACATTCAAACAGTGTTGTGGAGATTGACTCCACAGTACAGCAAAGCAAAGTATTAATTTTAAAGGGGTTCAAAATAAAACCAGGAGAAAAACTATGTGCCTCTTGTCAAAAAACATTGTTTAAAGCTCAAAACACAACAGATGAATGTACTGATAGTGATGGTGAACAGTGTGAAGATTGTGATGTGCATTACCCTGATTTACAAAAAGAAGAGGTAATTTCTTCTTTAAATACATCATTAACAGAAGTAGGTTGCTCACCCTTGAAACTTCATGCTCTAAATGAACACAGTAAGCCAAAATATGCCAAAGAAAAAATTGAAAAATTACAGGAAAGCGTGAAAAGAAAAATTGAGTTGGTTCTTGACGTTGAAGTACCTGAAGATAAAAGAACTTTGGAAAAGACTGTTGAAGAAAAGGCTGCAGATATGGACAAGTTAATCAATGACATAAAGGATGATCTACATTTGACACAGAAGAAGAAAACACAGATTCAGCTACTCACTATACCAGCTTCATTAAATTGGTCAAGGCAACGAATAAAAGACACTTTTCAGGTTTCAGACTATTCTGTGAGACAAGCACAGAAACTGTTTAGAGAAAAAGGCTTGTTAGCAGAACCAGACTCAAAAAGAGGAAAACATCTTAAACCTGAAGTAGTTGAGTTGGTAAAACAATATTACCAAAGTGACGAACAGTCTAGGGTTTTACCTGGAATGAAAGATGTCGTGAGCATAGGAAAAAAACAATATGAAAGAAAGAGGTTAGTTTTAGGGAATCTACATGAAATTTACTCAAATTTTAAAAAAGATCATCCAGAAATTAAAGTGGGTTTTTCTAAGTTCTGTTCACTCCGCCCAAAATGGTGTATCTTGGCTGGTGCCAGCGGCACCCACTCAGTATGTGTATGTACTATACACCAGAATGTGATCTTAATGATCCATGCTGCACACTTCGATGAAAGCTACAAAGATCTAACAAAAATGTTGGTGTGTGAAAACCCAAGTCGTGAGTGTATGTTACGACACTGTAACCTTTGCCCTCCTAAAGAAAATCTAACAAGCTTTTTGCTAACAAAATTTGAAGATTATGATGAAGACGACAACATTGAATTTAATCAGTGGATATCAACTGACAGAACCCAAATGATAACTCAAACAGCAAAAGTTGAAGACTTCATTGAAGATCTATCATCAAAATTGGAGAAACTTATTCCCCACTCCTTCATTGCAAAGTCACAATCAAAATATTTTAAAACCCTAAAAGAATCCTCTGATGCAAACGATGCTGTAGTTTCAATGGACTTCAGTGAAAATTACTCTTTCACAATACAGGATGAAGCCCAGGGATACCACTGGACATCCGACTCGTGTAGGCCTACTATACATCCTATCATAATTAATCTAACTAGTGCAACAGGTGAAAGGTTAGTCTTATCTCTCTGTATAATATCTGATGATATGAAGCATGAAGTTTCTATGGTGTACAAAATCCAAGAAATTGTGACAGAATTCATCAAAGAAAAGTATTCACATGTAACTGAAATCCATTATTTCAGTGACGGATGTGCCGGCCAATATAAGAATAAGTTCAATTTTTTTAACCTGTGCCTCCATGAAAAAGATTTTAATATAAAGGCACAATGGTCATTTTTTGCTACAAGTCACGGCAAAACCGAATGTGATGGAATTGGAGGCACAGTAAAAAGATTAGCCAGAAAGGAAAGTTTACAGAGGCCTCTCGGAGATCAGATTCTGACTCCTTCACATTTGTTTGATTTTTGTAAATCAAAAATTACCAAAGTTAATTTTTTTTATTTCCAAAGATGATATGTGTAACGTTCGTTCTTTCTTGGAAAAACGCTTTGAAGACGTGCAAACAGTCCCAGGAACACGAAGTTTCCACAACTTCAAGCCACTAGACAGTTCAGGGAACTTGGAAACAAGGAGGATTTCTAGTGATGAGAAACCTACTCTCTTGTTTAACTTAAACAGTAAATCAACACCGATTGTGGCAGAAGAACATTTAAGCCCATCAAGCTACGTGGCTTGTATATATGACGATCGATGGTACTTCGGAGTGATAACTGAAGTTAATATAGAAGAATGTGATGTGACAGTACAGTTTATGCATCCTGCAGGGCCATTCCCATCATTTCAATGGCCTAAGCGCGAGGACATTTGCCCTGTACCAGTTCCGCATGTACTGGCAATTGTTGATCCACCAGACACTGCTACAGGAAGAACATACAAATTTCCAGAAAAGTGTATGAGATCAATTGAAGAGAAATTTTCAAAACTCCATTAACTTAAATTATTTGTACATATCTACTGAATGTAATTAAGATTCTAATAAATGAAATATTCATGTAAGTACAAGACATTATTGTTCCTAATTTTAATTATTATGGTGTTAAGTTAGTATAAAATATAAGTTCTTGAGACAGTTATGGGTTAAAATATCATGATTTTAATTTAGTACTAATTAATCATTATCAAGTTCTTTATAACAGTGATTAAGTCTAGGTCATTTTAATTCCTTGAAATCCTTATAGTTCTGTAAAATAAAACGGAAAAAAAATTAATAATTTGATATTTAACTTAATAAAAAACAATGAAGGTATTAAAACCCCATGAATTTTTTTGCAGCATCTGATAGCTAATTTAATAAGGATTATTAGTAAAAAAAAGGTTTTTGTGTTTATCTCATACCCTTTCCTAGATAATCCATTTTACGCTAAACTATGTCTCCGCGTTTTAAAAATTCATAGGTACAAACTAGAATTTTTTTTCAGCCTTATTACATTAAACTAAGAGGTATTAGTATTTTTTTCTGGAATCCTCATGTCTTAAAGAATAAGTACATGAATTTTCATGAAGATTGTTCAGTAAACATAAAAGTTATAAATTATTTTCTAAAAGTAAGCGAGTTTTATTCTGCGACATCGGATGGTTAGCACTAGCGGAAATGAAAAACTTTGAAGGGCTATAAAAAAAAAACGGTAAGAGGTATTGAGTTAAAATTTGGTATGGTGACTTATCTTTATGGTTAGAACAAACAAGCCAAGTTTCATCAAATTCTGAGATGGTGGGTGAGATGGCCTGGTTGAACTGATATGGAATTCTAATTTAAATTTTGTAAAAGTAGTGATTCTACAATACTGCTTTCGTTCATGTTTCCTGTGTAGGTAAATAATATAAAAATAAATTGAAGCTTTCAACACAGAGACACAAATCAGACACTCACTAAAGAGAGACACATTTTAATTGGCAGCTCACACTCTTTATTTATTTATTACATGCACGGCAAACGCCATTTTACAAGAGAGTTGAGTTGACATTGATAAAAATTAAATGTGACTTGAACTGAAATAGTTATAGTGTGAGCAATAATTAAATATTATAACAAATATGAATAATATTAAATTATCTTCACTAGTTGTTTACCACAGACGACATCGTGACACCGACCGATGTCGGATGCAGTCGCAGTGCAGTTTTTTTCGCGTTCGGCGTAAAATGACGCGGGAAGAGGACAGCTGTTTTTAAGTACCTCAGACCACAGAGTTAAAGTGCCTTCAACTCGGAGTAGGCCTACACGTACGAGAGAGAAGAGCTGCTTTGCTCTCGCTTGTCGACAGTGTCTATTCAGGTCTCACACCCGACTTCATGTTTTGCTATTCACTGCTGAAACTTTTACTCTAAGTTTTTCCTCTTGATTTCTAAAAACACATCTCCCCTCATTTTTTAAAAATTTTTATGAATTTTTCCTTTAACGAGGGCGCAAATATTGGAATGTTGAGAAGGCGTATCACGGCGGGCCAGTCCGCCCCTGAATGTAGCCTATTGAAAGTGGGTTAATGTGGTTTAGAACCAAATAGGCTAGACAAACTCTGTAGCAAACCTATTGAATGACAAAGAACACAAACTTAGCCTACTTCTTGGTCTAGTGGTAATGCATACAATAATGTAATATAGACTATATTTAGCCTTAATTAGTATGAAATGTTCACCAGGTTTTCTTGTATTAGACTTATGCATAAATGCATTGTTACATGAGAGCTTTCTAATGTTTGTGTTGACAGAAGTTATTGAGGTATTTTATGAGCCTTTTGAACTTAGGCCGAACTTGTAACGGATCCCATTGGATCATTGAAACATGATATAGAAATTGAGAGAGGTTTAGTCGCCTATAATTTAATAATCGTTTAGTCTGCTTATAGATATTCACTAAATGTCAAACATTAACTTTACTGTAGTTCAATGGAGAAATGAATGTTTCTAGCGTACACGAAGTACCTATTGAATTTACTTACCAGGAACAGAATGGGTTAATGCTGACATGAGTAAATAAATTCATTCGTTAGTTCAATCACTATCAGCACACTAGAATTCATTACAATTACACAAATAACACTAAAACATAATTTAAAATTAACATTATAAAAACTTCAATCACTAAAAAGAATGGCAACCATTTTTCAATCCTGTTTATGATCCGATCAAAACGTCCCCAAATCACTACTTTCACGCCCTCTATTGACATATCAACCAAACACCGCCTCCATTTTATTACCTCTAGCGCATTCTCTTATTTCTTACGATAACTAATTTGAAAATCATATGATAAACGTAAAGGAAAAGACCGAACCGACAGACTTTTTTGTGGAGAGTTGTAATCAGCTGACAGCTGATGTTGTAGACGCCAAATCAAACGACCAAACCAAAATTGTATTGTTTGTTGTTCTAACCTAACCTCTCTCACATTACACGTGTAACCTAATTGTGAATAGGCCTACATAATAATTTTGTGTTTTCAAAAAAGCCTTATTCCTTATGTATGGTTCTGCATTCAAATAATGGCTAGTTTACCGGAGTTAATATTACAGAAAGTGAATGAACTTGGAAGTGTTGATACATTAGCTTTAAGTAGTATTTTAAATGAAGATCATCAGAAGATTGTTGGTGCAGTAAAAAGTATTCAAAGCCTTGGGGATGTGATCATCGCTGAACCCAGTTCCACCAAATTATGGGAATTGACTGATGAAGGTAAGGAAATCAGTGTTAATGGAAGCTATGAAGCTCTTATTTTCAATGCTGTACCAGAAGATGGCATTCAGCAAGCGGAATTGATGGCAAAAGTTCCTAATGCAAAGGTAGGATTTGGTAAAGCAATGACAAAGGGTTGGATTGTATTTGATAAGAGTAGTGGTAAAGTAACAAGGAAGATCCAGAATATAACTGATGAAACCAAAGACCATTTAAACATTATTTTGAATAAAGATCATGTTGAAATACCTGATAATGTAAAACTAGATTATAAGAAACGTAAGCTGCTACAAGAAGTTACAATTAAAAGTTTTAACTTAAAAAAAGGAAGCCAGTTCAGCCTAACACTATCAAAACCGGAGACAGATTTGACACCCGAAATGATCGCTACAGGTGCTTGGAAAACTAAAACCTTCAAACCATACAACTTCAATGCTCTGGGAATTCCCCCAAGCTGTGGATACTTACATCCTTTGTTAAAAGTTAGGACAGAGTTCCGTCAGATCTTCTTTGAAATGGGATTCACCGAAATGCCTACAAACAATTTTGTAGAAAGTTCTTTCTGGAATTTTGATGCCCTCTTCCAACCTCAGCAGCATCCCGCCCGAGATGCTCACGATACTTTTTTTCTTCTGGATCCCAAAAAATCTGAGAAATTCCCTCAGGATTATCTAGAACGAGTAAAATCTGTACACAGTAAAGGAGGTTATGGTTCTCAAGGATATAGATATGAATGGAGCATAGAAGAAGCACAGAAGAACCTCTTACGCACTCATACGACTGCTGTCAGTGCCCGCATGCTGTATAAACTTGCTCAGGAAGAAAGTTTCAAACCTGTGAAATACTTCAGCATTGATCGGGTTTTCAGAAACGAGACACTAGATGCAACACATCTCGCAGAATTCCATCAGGTTGAAGGTCTTGTTGCGGACTATAATTTAACGTTGGGGGATCTGATTGGCATTCTATATGAATTCTTCAAGAAACTTGGGATCACTAAGCTCAACTTCAAACCCGCTTACAACCCCTACACTGAGCCAAGTATGGAAATTTTCTGTTATCATGAAGGACTTAAAAAGTGGATTGAAGTCGGAAACTCTGGAATGTTCAGGCCCGAAATGTTGTTACCCATGGGACTTCCCGAGAAAGTGAATGTGATTGCTTGGGGTCTTTCACTTGAACGACCTACCATGATTAAATATGGTTATAATAATATACGAGACTTGGTTGGACCAAAAGTTGATCTGCAAATGGTACAAGAAAATGGAATCTGTCGATTAGATAAGTAAAGTTCGGTTGAAGGTAGCTTACTATGTTCTGTCATAATTTTTCATAGCCTTAAGCCCAAAAGGCAAACAACAACAAGGTTGTTTCAAAGGCAAACAACTTTTGTTACTTTTTCGTTAAAATGTCACTGAGAAATTATTGATTAAATTTATTAGTATTTTTTGGTTTGTTAAGCTAAAACGTAGGGTCAGGTCAAAAGTATAATGAGACTAAACTAAAAGTATTGCATCCAGTTACCTACCGTTACGTCAAAAAAGGACGGTACAAGAATTATTTTTTCAGTAGGCCTGTAAAACTGAGGTACAGGTGGATTGGCCTCTCTTAAAAATTTTTGTTTCTCACCAATAATGTTGATTTCACAGTAGAAAGATCTTAACTGCACCACCTCTCTTATCCAAAACTTCTTCAAAATTATTTTTAACATGACAGCATTAACTTAGTATAGTTCGGCCGCTTAGAAAGCGACCTGCACACTAATGCTAAACCAATGCTAGAGGAGGTCGCTTTCTAAGCGGCCTAACTATAGAAACTAAGTTCAAAATAATTTATTTAAGGTGTAAAACCAAATTTTTTTTTATTGTTTTCAGTACTTTTTGTTTTATAGTCCATTTTGAAAAATAAAACTCTTGAGCTACGGTATCACAGACACTAGGCCTATTTTAACATCCCAATTTAACTTAAGTAGGCAGAGTATAGAAAAGATATTTTTATGAAACTTTGTGAAATCAAACTTAATAGGCTTAGTTTAAACTATTTTTTTAAGAATCCGAAATAAAAACAGCGGGATTGTAAAACACTGTTTAATGCTGTTGGGATTTTTTTTATGCTACTTTTCAGTTCAAGTTTTATTGATCTTTTATTTTTTATTTACTTTTAAGTCTTGAGCGCTCACAGTTTTAAAATTTTTTGCTTGTTCCTGTTATTTCACAAGTAGTCTAATTTATCTTGCATGGTATACAAAAAGTGATTTTGTTTATTGGTAAGTTATACAGTTTGTAATTTTCTTTCACCTTAGACATTTTATGTATGGTAAGATGTGCAACATTATATCTGTGCTATATTGAAAGTCTGTCTATAGAATAGGTAACTTTACTTTATTTTCCATTTATAATCCAAAGTCGTAATTAAAATCCAATATATTGGTTGCACTTGAGCTATTCAATTGACAAACTTTATTTTGATTCACTTTACAATGCTTGCACACCAAAATATTTTAAGTCGAGTTAGGTATTTACTTTTAAAAATTGGAATTATTAGGTTCTAGGTGTATTAATTGTAAAATTAAATAGCATCCTTAACATTCTCAGGGTTAAAATGTATAATTTAGGTATGAAACTAAAACTATTTCCTTTTGTTGCACATTTACATTTATTAAAACTTCTGGCTTTATAAGTTTAGATGTTTTGATATATTAAAAATAAATTAAATTACATAAAAATATGTAGCCTACCGTACCCGTGTTCTAAAATAAAGATTGAGGCATGGTCATGTAATATTTATGTTTTAAAATAACTTATCATTATTGTAGCATTGTAAATACCACTTGTAAGATTGTAAATTTCATGATTTTATGCTTTGAGATTAGTTCTCGAATTAAATTAATTTCCTCCCGAGAAAGTTGTATTTTTCGACCTGATTCCCAACAATCTTTAGGTAGATGAGTGTGTTGTTCCTTGTTTAAGGTTTTTTTTAATTTGAGTAATTTTGAAATTATTATAAACATATAGGATAATTAGTTAGTAAACTGTTTCACTGTTACATGTACTCTATTATTATAACAAGAGAGTAATTAACAAGGCTTAATTTACCCTATGATAAGCAAGAAATATTTAGTCAACATTTCTTAAGTCAAACTTAGGATTTTTTGAGAGGATAGCAGGCTTACCTGAATGGGAAAGAGTCCAAACTGGCACAGGAAACACAAAACAAAACTTTACACTATATACACAAAACATTAGAATATTTCACTGTCACTGACAGCATTTTCAACTAAGGCTCTTCCTTAGTTGAAAATGCTGTCAGTGACAGTGAAATATTCTAATGTTTTGTGTATATAGTGTAAAGTTTTGTTTTGTGTTTCCTGTGCCAGTTTGGACTCTTTCCCATTCAGGTAAGCCTGCTATCCTCTCAAAAAATCCTAAAAAATCTAGGCCCTTGTGCTCTATGCTACACCCTTAAGTCAAACTTAATTTGAATTGTAACACACATCAAAAGTTATTTAAAGTCAAAGGTATAATCATGAATTGTGCCTAAGATACTTTTTGGAACAGAAAATAAGAACAATAACTTCATTCGAGGGGTTAGAAAGAATATATTTACTGTACATATTTACAAAAATTAAAGTATGTTATAATTTGAGTTTCTTAGCAGTAATACTAAGCTTGTCTTTCTTTTTAGCGAATGGAGAAGTCTTGCTCTTAATCTGACTTTTTACTTCATCCTGCAGTTTGTTGAAGAAGGAAGTAGAACTCTTCACCATCTTTTCTCTGCTTTCTTCCATCTGAAAAAATACACTTAAATTAGGAAACTAGATGTTGTGCCGATTTTCAATTCAAACGCTCAAAATCCGTGATAAACACTGCAGACAAATGGCCAACGCCATGGTATTTTCAGCGACCAACGCGGATTGATATTAAGAACCAACGTTCAAACAAAGAAAAACGTTCAAACCATAAGATTATAAAGTACAAAAACTTACCTTGGATATATTTGCAGAAGAGTCCAAAACTTGTTTAACAGCCTTCAGTTTTGCATACTTGTTGCCGAGACCAGGGTTGATCTTGGTGACATCTTGGACTGCTCGTGCCTTTTCTCTTGCACGTTGTCTCTGTTTTGTCTTCTTCAGCCTTCTCGCCCTCTTCTTGTCGGTTTCCGTTCTTTCTTCTTTGCTCATTGGTTCACCTTTAAGCTTCCCTGGAAGTACAATAAAATAAATAAATTGCGTTATAGTTTGGTAAAGTTTAAAAATAGTGTGAGGTTGAAGAATGAAATATAGATGTTGTTCCAGTACAGTTCATCACAGCATAATTGTTGTGTTTGAATTAACCCTTTTACCGCCACGGACGAATGCAACATTGCGCGTGAAGGCCGCTGAGCGCTAAGTCAGCTGACCGCGCGAAGGTCGCCGACCCGTCAGCTGGCGCGACGCCTGAAAACCGCCGCTGTAAATTCGACTGATTAGATGACATCTGTTAAAACGGTCATAACTCAGCTGAAACAATAGCTAGAGCTATGATATTTTTTTTATTTTGTTCGTATTTATTTGTTCTTTATGTCTATGTATAATTTGTAAACCATATACATTGTTTTTTTATTGTTACTGTAAGAAAAATCTAAAATTTAAAAAATATTTATATAAAATTTTGATTTTAAAATTTTAAAATGAACATTTGTATTATGTTTCCACACAATAACTATAACTTTTCTTAAACCTTATTATCTTATGAGAGTACAGTTAACATTTTTAGCCAAAATATTTACAAATAAAAAAAATATAAGAGAAAAAGAAAAACTTGTTTATTTTTGACAAAACTTGAATTTTGTAAAACATTGGTAGTTTCGTATTGTTGGGTGACAATAATACCATTTAGGTTCTTACAGTGCAATTATTAGTGTTCAAAATAACATTTAAATTAAATTACATATAAAAAACACTGTTTATAACAATTACTTGTAACTGTAACCCAGAAAAAACATTAAAAAATAAAGTTATGTCGTAAGCCTACCTTTATTGCTGCTGTCCCAATGATCCAATGTGCACAGAAAATTAGTTTTTGGTTACACAGTCAAAACATTAAAAATATACAATAGTTAAAAATCACACTTTTATATAATATTTACACATATTTACAACACGGTGTTTTGTTTTTGTTTACGGTTTACACTTGTGGCGTGGGAGGCAAGCCACGTGACATCCGGCTTTGCAGTTCACACACACCGTTTTGCTACGCCTTCTCTTCCCTTCTGGGTCGTTCTTCCCGCTACAGACCGAACATATCTTCTCCTTTGCACCATCGAGCCTTTCTACCCCAAATCCTTTCTTATTCATAGGTCCATCACCACCCCCGCCTAAATTTACCCCAGCATTTTTAACAGAGAGCCATTCTTCAGCTAATTGGTCGATTACTGCAATTTGGAACTGCAGGCGGTCCACTGGTCTGTCAGTATTCAATTTATATAGGACGTATGCATTTAGCATCATTCGGCCGAAAATGTTAAAAATCACCTTTTTCCAGTGCTTCATGCATCGTCTTTCGTCAAGGTAAGTATAAAGCATCTGGTCTGTTCCATCAATGCCGCCCATGCCATGATTATACTCATGTACAATTTGGGGTTTGTTCTTTATTAATATCCTCCCACTTCTACGGATTGTGTATCGTACATTTCTTGCCACTGATTTAGTTGAAAGGACAATAAACTGAGATTTGTTTGTTGCCTTTTCTCTGTAGGCCATTAGCAAAAGGGGTCCTTTCCGTACGTATACCTTTTTCCCAACTGGGTATTTCCCACGCAATTGATTGGGGATTCCTTTGCGATCAATTCGAACTGTGCCAGTTACATTAGTTGAGTTTGAAAAAAGGTATCTTGCCAGTTTTTTCGTTACGAAAAAATTGTCCAAAAACATGTGGAAGCCCTTATGTAACAAGTTGGCCATTTCTAGGAGTTTTACAACGACAGTGTATCCTAACCCAAACTGGTCAATCCTAGCCCGTTCAGTTTCATATCTGGCCCCCTTGTAACAATAAAATTGGTAGCAGTACTTGGTGTCGGCGTCACAAAGGACCCAAAGTTTGATACCCCATTTATGGTGGTTTTTTTTTGGGATGTACTGCGTTAATGAGATCCTCTTTTTAGTTCCCACCAAAGATTCGTCAATTGATAGTTTTTCATATGGTGTGAAATGCGTTCGGAAAACTCTGTTACAATGGTCTATTAAACACTGAAACCGACCACATGGGTCGTAGTTTGGGTCCCCAAGCTTTGGTAAGGTGTTTTTGTCAACAATGTGGAAGAACTTGAGCAAAATTTCAAACCTGTTCCGGCTAAAACATCTTACTAAACCATGGGGTACTTGATGATGATGCGGTAAACCAGTACGATTCTATTGTTGGTTTTCGAATGACGCCCATGTTTAAGATCACAGCAATAAATCCTTTCATCTCCTCTAGTGTCACATTTACCCAGGATCTTAGGCGGCTTTTAGGGGACAGGTTGCCTTGTTGAGACCTTAAAAATTCGTTTGCATATTTGTTAGTTTCCAAAACAAAAGTGTTTAGTAAGACATTTGTAAAGAACAAATAAAAATATGACAAAGGACGTGAGTTACGGGGTGGACAGTGTTTTGGTCCAGACAACTCAGCAAAGTTGAAAGTTGCGGGAAATTCATGATCGTTACCGTCTTCAACCTCCTCCCATTCACTAATGTCAGAATCGTGATTATTCCTGGGCCCTACAGGCTGGGGCCTTCGAACACGACCCCTCCCCTGACTACGTCTGCCCCTCGGTTCCCGATTTACGTGTCCGTTAAGCATTTGTGGAGTATTATTAGGTCTGGGCATTGGGGGATCATCAGGATCGCTATCATCAGAACTACTATAACTCACAGTAGGCTCGTGAACATCAGTTTGGTTGAAATTATGTTGTACAACCGTTTCTCTGGTTGAAGGCCCTGGAGCATTTATATCTAAATCTAAAACCCTAGGCCTATTCCTATCTGTTAAAAATCTAAAAGGATTGGGTCTTTCAGCTGGATCGTAGGTTGGGTCCTCGTCTGTGTCGTCAAAGATTTCATCTGAGGAAGAGGACAGGTCGTCTAATGAGTTCACCTCACCATCGTCACTAGGGACGTCGTATCCACTTGCTAGAATTTCGTTTACTATAGCGTTTTCACTAAGTGGTGACGGCGGACACGGTCTTTTACTCATTTTACACCAAAAACGTACACAAAACTAGACTCTAAATAATGTTTTCCGCACTAAATAAAGTAAACTAACATCACAACATGTAATAGTAAACAAAACCTCATTGCAGACTGTTTGGCGCCAGTAAAAGCCGCGACAGACTGCGTGGCGCCAATCGCCAGTCTGCTCATGGCACGGCCCACTTGATCGATGTCATTTGTGTTGTTGGGATACTATAATAAAAGCTTTAGATAATTTACGCTGCGGAACCAACTAGAATGGTCCTTAGGCTTTATAGTAATATGAAGTTTACGAGTATATTAGTAAAAATAACAGCGCAATATCAAAAATACGCCGAGCCGATCTGATCGGCCGGTGGCGGGGTTCGCTCGACATTGCAGAGCCGATGAGATCGGCCCGTGGCGGACTTCGAATACAATGTTTAAGCCGATGAGATCGGCCCTTGGCGGTCTTCACAACATATCGTAAGGCCGATCTAATCGGCCCGTGGCGGTAAAAGGGTTAAACCTATGTTTAAACAAACCAGATGTATTGTAATGTGAGGTATAGCGGTGTAGCTATCCCTTACAACTTCGTCCTTTTACCTTGTGTAACATCCTTAATCTCAGTCCATTTATAGGCTAGGCCTATTGAAAAACCTAAGCTGTACACACCCATTTATCTTATTTCCTTAGGTTTCATGGTCACGTTTCCTAAAGATCCCCACATTTTCTGCTAATGCAATCCAATAACCAGTGTTTGTCAGATTTAACACCTGTAATAAATAATCTATGTCTAATCTATGCCTGCCTTATTTCATATACAGTTTAACTAACATATGTTTATTGATTATTATGATTTGTAAACAGTCCAAATAAATACACATCTTGGTCAAGTCCTAGTCTTTTATCTTGTCTGTCTATAATATTTTAACATTGGTGCCGAAACCCGACTTATAAATCATGTCAAAAAATATGTCAATCCGAAAGTCAGGGAGAGAGAAACACCCTCCAAATAGATATTCCCCAGAAAATGCAAATGACAAGAATGATGAACCCAAAGAAGGAGATAGTCAATCTCTAAAACCACCTTCTAAGTCAAAAACCAAATCTTCAACTTCCAGCAAGCGCCGGTTAGTTCAACTGCAACTAGAAGAAATAGAAGAAATAAACAGGCTTGAGAAAATACACGAAGAAAGAGAGTTGCAACGGCTGAAAGAATTTGAAGAAAAGGAGATGGAGCGACAGAGACAAGAGATGGAGCGCCAAATGCAGGAACAACAAAGGCAAAGAGAGGAGAGGGCAATGGAACGACAACGTCAAGCTGAAGCAAGAGAACTAGAACGACAGAAGCGTCTGCTGAGAGTAAGGACCGAACTTGAGTCTGCTTCGGTCTTGGGAAGTAGTCAGTCCGCCTCAGTCTTGGGCAGTCGTCATTTGGAATTGGAAGATAATGAAGACCCTGACAAGGTAAGCTTCAATATTGCTACTGTTGAGGAGGACTCTAATGTCAAAGTCAATAGGTGGCTGAATGAGGAACCGTCAGTTCCTTTGACATCATCAGCCATCGTGTCCACGGCTATTGATAAACTAGCAGACTCCTTTTCAAAAGCTATCAATTTATCTAACCCCAACCAACCTGTCTCTTGCCGACAGCGTCTTCCATCCTTCAGCGGGAAACCAGACGAGTGGCCCATGTTCTATTCCTGTTACAATAAGACTAAACACCTTTTTAATGACGATGAAAACCTTGACAGAATAAGAAATTGTTTGGAGGGAGATGCCTTTAAAATGGTAAAACCTCTATTTATATCAGGAAAAAATTTGAGTACAGTAATGAAAACTTTACAAATGCGTTTTGGACGTCCAGAGTTTATAGTCGAGTCAATGTTGAAAAAGGCGCGCATGCTCCAACCAGTCAAGGAGGATGACGCTGTCAGCCTTATTGAGTTTTCAACAACTCTTTTAAACCTGACCTCTACCGCAGAGTCGTTGGATTTGGAAATGTACTTAATAAATCCTCTCTTGTTGAATGAACTTTTAAGTAAGCTCCCATATACTCTAAAGTACAGGTGGGCTGAACATGTAAATAGCATGCATTTAGAAAAACCTACTGACCTGAAAGTATTCTGTAACTGGCTTGAAAATCAGTGTTCCATTATGAGTATTTATTTTCGTCCACCCGAGGAGACAACGCGGAAGAGAAGTGACCCTAAACCAGTTTTTACTAATTCGCCCAATGAAAACGTTTGCATGTTTTGCTCGGAGAGTCATGAAACCGATAAATGTAAGCTTTTTAGAAAAGCAGAAGTCTCGCAGCGGTGGAAGATGATAATTGAGAAAAAACTGTGTTTCTTTTGCTTCCGTCGTCACCACATCAAATTTTGCAATTTAAAGAAACCTTGTGGAATCAATGGGTGCAAACTATCCCACCATCGCCTTCTGCATACTGACAGTGCCACTAAAAATGCCCAAGAGATCAGCTGGGACAGAGTACAGAACACTTTCAGGCAGGAAGGTAAATCAAAAGAAGAAAATCACTCGGTAAATAACCGCGTTTTACTAAGAGTATGTCCAGTGACATTATATGGTCCAAGCTGTCAGATCGACACATATGCACTTTTAGATGACGGTTCAACCATATCTCTACTAGATTCAACTACAGCCAATAAATTAGGTGTCAGTGGTAGCATTGAACCCCTTACCACTTGTTGGTCAAATGCAACTAAACATTTTGACCCAACGTCCAGACGAGTTGAACTTAAAATAAAAGGGCTCTATGAAGACGAAGTTTTCACATTGACTAATGTAAGAACTCAATTTCCCTTAGATTTACCCCAACAGTCGATCGATTCAGTAAAGCTTCGTGAGACATGGTCTCATTTAAATTCAATCGACCAACCTCTACCAACATCTCATGCCAAACCTACCATCTTGATTGGTCAAGATAATTGCAACCTAATATTGACAAGGAAAGTTGTGGAAGGACCTCCTAACTCGCCAGTTTTATCCTGGAGTTACTTAGGCTGGTCGTTGCATGGAAAATGTCCAGGATACAGTGGAGGACGTATCGATGACAACTTTACTCTGACATGTTTTAAATATGATAAATTGTACAAAACAGCAGAGGAATCATTTGAGATTGACAACTACGGTGCAGAAAACATCTCCCAAGAGGAAAGGACTCGAAACAAAGATATGAAAATCAAAACAGCACATTTAAACAGGGATCCAATAAAAGAAAAAGCGTTAGAGAAGGAATGCCAACCCCTGGAAGCTAAGAATATGATTCAAGACTCTGAGAAACATTCTGACATTCTCACCAGTGTCCAGACAGTCCGAGTGGTTGGAGAGAAAACGGATGAGCTGATAGAAAATTCCAAAGTACTTGAAGTCTTGAAGGAAGCCATGCTGGAATCCAGTGTCAAAATCAAGAACAAGATCTTTGCGGTAACTGGCAAAAGGAAGAATGTGAAAACAGAAGACAAAAAACTTAAAGCCAAACCTCTATGGGAAATGAAGAAAACGGAGAACGATTCAGAGTTGAAAATTTGTGGTGGATGTGATGTGCAGTTTGACAATACCTCCTTCTACAGACACAAGAAGAAACGTGTGTGCTGGAAGGAGCACAAGAATAACGATGACAATCAAACAAACAAGTGTGCTCAGTGTGGCTGCAAGTTCCCATGTCTGATGGCCTTGTTTAAACACAACTGTAGTCGCTCACAGGAACCTACGATGCCACAATGGTGTCTTGAAGAGCAGATGGCGGAGGTGCTAAGAGACAGCGTGGAGGACAATTCCAACTTGTCACCTATGAAAATATCCAGAGACGAGTCTGTGAGGAGAATGTCACTAGTAGACGATTCAGTCAGCCTAGTCAGTGACGAGAGCTTTGACATCTCACAGTACCACAACAAGTCCAGCAGTGATAACCAGAGGAATAAGAAATATTCTGAAATATTCAAAGATATCAAAACAACCAAAGGTACATTCCGGCGCCCTCTTACCAAGGTCGCAGTTCTTGGGGGGGAGAGAATGTAATAAATAATCTATGTCTAATCTATGCCTGCCTTATTTCATATACAGTTTAACTAACATATGTTTATTGATTATTATGATTTGTAAACAGTCCAAATAAATACACATCTTGGTCAAGTCCTAGTCTTTTATCTTGTCTGTCTATAATATTTTAACAACACCAATAGCACAAAATATCTGCATTGCTTATTTTGAGTTACACATTACAACTGGTTTTCACAGCCAACCAGAAATTTAAATTGACCAAATGTTCGGACAAAAAATAGTCAGATTTTTCAGACTGTGCTGTCTTCCAACACTTATACAGTAGCAACTCACTGCCTTTGACTTCTTCAGGAGCAAGTAGAGCTGAGTCCGCTACCGTGACAGGTGCCACCTCCTCCATGTTGATGGCCGACACGTTGGTGACCACCTTTAGTTCTGGAGCAACCTGCGCAGAGCCACATGTCTTAGATACCTTGTCAATACACTGACTACATGATTAGAAATTTGTTAGTCATATAAGTTATTCCATTCCTTCGTAGCTAGGAAATTGTCGTTTGGAAAGTGTACCACATGTGCAAAATACTGCATTACCAAATCGACATATCATTACTCCTATCGGTCAGATTTTGCTATAATATTAAGTGTAGAAAGGGTGTTTTCTAATGCAGTTCGGAATTGTAACAATATTGAAATACAGAAAATACTATTTGTAATTTTGTACTGAGCAGGTCCTAAGTGAATTGGTTGTTTACGTATTTAAAATAAACGGTATCAGCATTCTGACACATACTTTCTCCCATAAGTTTGTCAACAACCTTTATCATGTGTAAGCGGTGAGAATAAATATACGGAAATGGAATTTGTACAATTTTTTTCAGAATTTAAAGGACTATAAGATACTAAATTTTTATCAAAATCGTTCGAGCCAATTTTGGGAAAATGTGATTTTCCGTTATTTTATGGGGTTTTATGGGAAAATAACATAACTTACAATAACTTTTGAACCGTAATTTTTACAGAGATGGGATTTGTGACATTTTGTTCAGAATATAAAGGACTATAACATACTAAATTTTTATCAAAATCGTTCGGGCCATTTTTGGGAAAATCTTATTTTTCCGTTATTTTATGGGGTTTTATGGGAAAATACCCATTAAAAATAAAAATTTCTAGAAAATGAAAAAAACTATCAAAATTGTAAGGACCATAACATACTATGTCAAATAAAAACCGGATTTTTGTCTAAAATCATATTTTTCGTTATTTTATGGGGTTTTATGGGAAAATAACATAATTGACCATAACTTTTGAACCGTAATTTTTACAGAAATGAGATTTGTACCATTTTGTTCAGAATTTGAAGGGCTACAACATACTAAATTTTTATCAAAATCGTTCGGGCCATTTTTGAGAAAACCCGGTTTTCCCGGTTTTTTATGGGTTTTTATGGGAAAATCCCCATTAAAAATCAAGATTTCAAAAAAATGAAAAAAACGCCTGGAGATACCATGGATTAGAACCTACATACCAAATTTCATCGAAATCGGACCACAGGTGTAGACTCTAGCTCTGTACACATCCAGACACACAGACACACACATACACGCCATCCCTATACTTGTGTGGACGTGGGTTTTTAACCAAACTATGTGGACATCAAGGCACACGGCTGAAAAAAATATCCTGGGTTCTTTCTAACCTCAAATTGAAGATGAATAAAAGAACACTCCTTGTTTATGGAATGGGCACACGGAAGGGACTAAGGCTAAATGTGTAATGACGTCATATCTCTAGTGGTTATTGTCTTCTCTTGAGGCGACACGATTACCGTAACGAAACGGTGTGATTTCAGCGGCGTTCGTGGCATAGTTGGTAGCGTTTCGGATTGCTGTTCAGGAGGTCCGGGGTTCGAAACCCGCTGGCAGCATTAACTTTTTGTCAACAAATTTTTCATATCAGCAAGTTTGGTTGGTTAGGTTAGGTTATGACAGTTTAATTTTATAATACTAAATTTTAAAATTAATTTTATAATTAATAATTAAAAATTATAAGTAATCATTAATTAGATTTTTATCTTATATAGTTTTTACATGATCAGCAAGTCTGGTTGGTTAGGTTATGTTATGACAGTTTAATTTTAAAAATTAAAAATTTATTTTATAACTTTAAAACAATATTTTATAATTAAAAAGTTAATTTTATAACAAAAAATAAAAAATAAAAAATTAATTTAAATTTTTTCAACTTAGCAGTCCTAGCGGCGAACGCTGACACTACAAGATATGTTAGCCTTAGTCCCTCCCGTGTGCCCCACCGCTTGTTTATTGGGCTAAATGTAGTAAAAAAATCATGAAAATTGTGTGGACGTCCCCACAGTTTATGCAAGAGTCGGTCATGTCCCCACAGGTAATGCAAAAGCTAGTACACATGTCCACACAGATAATGCAAATGTTGACACAATCGAGTGTTATTTCGTTTGAAGGTGTTAATGTCCACACAGTTTGGGAATTTCACTGGTTGTATTTTGACAGTATATTTAGGTTATGTCTCCAGTCTTCTTTAAAAATAATTTGTTGTATATTTGTCATATCCGAATTGCTATCTAGCATATGAAATAACTCTATTTACCTTTTAATTCATTGTTAAAAATATTTAATTAGTAAGAAATTCAGTTTCTCGTCAAAGAAAAATATCAGGCCAAAAAACCAATGTCATCATGAAGATATTGCTGGAGAACTATCGATATTTTTCAGTGATGCAATCGATTTGGTTCGATATTACTAATATAATTTAAATACTATTAAGTAATTTAATATTATATGATTTGAGATAAATGTTTTATAATATTAATTTAATACTAATATTTTACAATATTGATTTATTAATTAATATTAATTTAATGTTTTATATATTAATATTATATTATTTAAATACTTTTTTATTTAATTTTTCTAATTTTCTTTTACTAGATCTATGACACCAGTTGACTTTGTCTCTGAATAGAAAGCCTTTTCAGATGAAGTACTCCATTCAGTTTGAAATTTGACTATAGATTGACTATGTTGAACTGTAGCTCTAGTTAGCGCCTTTAATCCATGATATTGTAAATAAATTATTGCAGGCAGTAAAAAGATGTTTCTGTACAGTTAATCAGTGACGGATAGTACAAAGAAATAATATCATATGAATTACGTTTTCCCCTTTATATAATGATACATTACCTGTACTTGTAGTCAGTTAGCGTCCATAATCAACGGCAGTACAAACGGTTTTATGATAAGAAATAAAGCATATACCCGTATTAAAATTACTGGCGGACAGTACAAAAATGTACTATATATTATAATTAATAACTATACTGTCGGCATGGCACTTAATTACAAACTACCAACACTTAGATGGTGGCATGTTGTCGGGGTAGCATCTTGACAACAAACCCTTACTATTAGAGGAGAGTTTCAAGTTTTGTTCTATCTTCTCAGTTTTCTAATTGTAATTCACTTTATTATTGAATACTTTTTTATGTGTTATATCCGTAGGAATTTTTGGAAAACGGAATCTATCGGAAAGAAAATCAGCCGTTTGGTTCTAAATAAAACTGTTAGGATGAAGTAGATTTTGAAACGTTTTGTCAAACTTTGGTTTGTAAGCTGTATTTAGGTTACATGAGAGACAACAACGTTAGATAAACATCATGTATATTAAAAAACATGACAGGGGTTTGTTTTTATTTCGCAATTCTGAATCAACCACTTGATTTTCATGATTTTTGTGTTGAAAGAAAGATCATTTTGAGAACTAGGTATTTTGGTTTTTTAGAAATTAAGTTTTATCTTTACTAAGTCTATCAGCTGATGCTAACGTTCTAAACTAGCTTTTGGTATAATATAATTTGCCACAACAGCTGTAAACATTCAGTGTTTATGTCACAAATTTTTTATGGAGAAGAAAAACGTGTGCAATTAAATGAATAAATTAAATTAAGATCTGCAACATTTATACTTAACAAAACGTACATATTTTTAGGGAATAAGCCGACATGGGCAGCGAGCCTCTGCGTTGACTTTGGCCTGTGCGTCCAAACACATAATCATTTAATCAAATAAAAAAAATAAATAAAAGAAGATAGGTGAAGATTAAGCTAAATGGATTTACAAGAACAAATGGTGAAATAGATAACTATAAAAAATATTAGGTGGCATAAAAAAGTTAAAAAAATATATTTATATAAATAAAAAAAATAGTTTAATTAAATTGTAAGAATTATTAAATAGCTTATTAGTTATTCATTTATTATAAAATGTTGTACAAGGAGTCAATTCTATATCAAGAGATGGGAAGCCAAACTCTCAAGTTCCATTACTAGTAGCCGCCAGCAGCTTTCTTTGTTCACCAAAAAGTCTATAGGAGCGCCACTAGTCAGACATGACAAAGTCCACACAGTTAATGTATTTCCTGTGAAAATTGTGTGGACGTGTGTGATGTCCACATAAGCTACCAGGTCCACACAGTCTGGTCACATTCACACTCATGTCCCCACAGCTTATGCAGCACGAAAGCACAGACACACAGACACACACACACACACACAGACATCACTTCGAAAACCACTTTTTTGGGTCCAGGGGGACCCAAAACGAATATATCCACTCAAAACTCAAACTCGAAAATTTTGACGAAAACAATACTTTCTCCATATACTATGGTATAGGGGGAGAAAGTAAAAATTGACAAAGTGACAGTCAAGTCTGAGGGTTTGGGTGTTCGTACAGATCAAAATCATCAGTCCAATGCAAATGGAACTGAACGATTTGTACATATTTGGAGTCTACAATAGCACCTTAGAATTTAAGAACTTGCCTTTGGCTCGTCGCAAGAATACAATTCATAATATAATTTATGTTATAGTGTGTCTAGTTTATTTCCATTTTAAAATTCAAGACAAATTCCAGACTTTTTAAGGCTAGCTTTTTCAGCAATTAGTGATGTGTCGATACAAAAATGTATTGATACCAAATACTTGAAAAATAGATTCTTGATAAAGATACGATATTTTGGTTTTACCAAATGTTCTAAATAATTTGGTTATACTACACCAACCCCTGTCTTTATGTCATAAAGTATTTTTGTAATATTGGGGCGTTTTTATAGTAAAGAAAAAATTAATGCAGGAATGAAAAATTCTAGCTAGCCTATTTGGGTTAAACCCTTCTTAACACATTTAATGACTACCATATCAAAGGTAAATAATCTAACCACAAAAAGGCAATTCTATTATAACTAGAGGTGTACCAGCATGATGTTTTCAGTCGAGCCAAACTAGTGGTAATAGCCTGATTATCTGCCGGTCGTGGAGACATCATCGTCAACTTCTGAGATCATTGCGAAATCCGGAATATCTTCCTAAGTCACGGAAACATCATCACTATCTTTTGCGGTCCCAAAAAAAACTGTTCATCTCCCGTTGTTGCATAGACATTACCATCGACTCCCGCGGACACAAAAACATGATCGTGGCAAAATCATGAATATTTTATTAGATTTTACACTATCCATAAAATTTCCGACTGCGAGAACAAAAATACTTAATCGCGACTTTACCTAGACAACTTGTTTAAGCATTGAATTTCCTTTATATCACCCTCGCCTAAGACAACCGGATGAATTAATTGTTGCCTACGGGATCAGTTCAATTAGAAGTGCAGGAAAAAAATTTACGTCACTGATGTCTGAGAACTAGCTCACTTTGCCACCTCTGGAGCACATTGGAGATTAAAATCCATGGATAACTGTTGTAGGAGACTCAGCGCCTGCCATTTACATCAACTCTCACACAATAGGTCAATACTCACAGGTCTGGGAGTGTAATGGTAGTTGGAAAGCGCGTCTAGCTTGTTGAACAGGGAGTGCAGCATTGAACGCACTTCTACATGAGCAGCTGGTTCTGTCTCTTGTCTCTCGACATCATCTGATGTTGCCGCATCTCTTTGTTTGATAAATTCCTGTAAAATTGATTAAGTGATATCAGCGATCTGACACATCGTTTCCTTCCATTAGCTTGGCAACAACTCTTATCACAAAGAGGTCAAAATAACTATCGTATTTTATGGGTAGAATCAAAAAAGTTGCCATCATTTTTGAACCGTAACTTTTACTGTATTGGGGGTTGTACTGCTTTTAGAGTTGATAGGGCTATACACGAAGTTGGTTTTGCAAGTTACTTAACTTTGAAATACACAAGACTGGCGTAAATTTTAATTAAAACTGTTTGACTGTTATTTTGAATATCCGTTTTTGCCATTACTTTATCATCTTTATGTTGTTTATGGGTTTTATGGGAAATCACCATATAAAAATAATACCCCCGCCGCAGCAAACCTGCCATCTAAGCGAATTTCCATTTGGCCGAATTGATTTTCAATTGATCTATTTAAATAACATTAGGTTTAACGAGTACCTAGGTTTGCTGCTACAAGGAAACTAATAAAGTAGTGTGTTTTTAGTAAAATATTGATAGCTTACTATAAAATAAATAAATTTGCCAAGTTTGATCAAAATATATCCATAAACAAACAAACTACAACATTTTACAATATTCTCCATAAGAATAACATGGGAATTTTAAATTTACCATTTTTTTAGTTTTCTCCGTTACCAATAACCGGACAAAAACACTTTGATATACTGAATTGTTTGTTTTTTTAAGCTCTTTAAGAGGGTTTAGAGAAAAATTGGGAAATTTTGTGTTTTGAGGGTAAAAAGTGAGAAAAACCCATTTTTACCCCATAAAACCCCCCATAAAACCCTGTTCCCATGGACCGATCATGCTGGATCGCGAACTCATTCAAGTTTATCCCGCCTTACACCTTCAAACCAAATTTCATCAAAATCGGATAAAAATTACTTAAGTTATCGTGTTCACGGACACATATATATATATATATATAAATCTATATATATATATACCTATATATATATACATATATAAAAATTTGAACGAATGGTGTTTTTGGCCTCTGGGGACATTAAAATGAAAAAGTAAATCGGTCCCGGGCCTAAGTCTTACCATGAGACCTACGGTAATAGCTACTTCCCTATAGGGAAATTCGCTAAAAATGTCAAAAATAAGCCCTTGAGACCATAGATTAATACCCACAAACTAAATTTCATCAAAATCAAACCACAGGTGTGGTCTGTAGCTCTGTACACAATACACATCCACACGCACACGCAAACACACACATACAGACATCACTTACAAAACTTTTTTATGGAAATTTCACGATTAAAATTTCAAGCAAATGAAAGAAAAACGCCTTGAGATACTATGGATTATTATATACCAAATTTAATCAAAATCTGACAACAGGTGTCGTCTGCAGCTCTATACACATCCACACACATTTTTTTTTTTTAAAGAGGTTGGCGGCCTCTTTTAACCTTGCATTTGCCCGTCCACATAGACTAAGCGCCCGTGCGTGGATCGTTAACAGCAAAGCAAGGAGTGAGCCGGTACAGTACAAAGGTGAACCGTACTGATAAAATGTTATCGGCAGTGACCAGGATCCAAACCCATGACATCCCTGCCTTGGGCCCGAAGTCCGCGACGCCACCAACTCACTAAATTAATACCGATCAGTATAACAATATCTCATGGTTCAGACAATTGATTACTTCCTAGGTAAAAAATTAAAATGTGTACAACAAGAAATAAACATTGATGACAAACTACGAGATTCTGTGGGTTTACATCAGGAATACATATTACTAAGGAAATTTTCTTGAAGATTCGGAATAGGGATATCCGAGAGTTGTAAACCATCCTGTCACATTCCCTCAAAGGAAATCGTGATGGATGTGACTTTACTCTATCAAAGATATTAGAAACAACGTAACTTTAATGGATTTAAAAATCTTTACTGCACCTGTTCGTAAACTTCAGCCAAAGACAGTTTACTCTTTTCCTGATCCAGAGCCAGTTTCTTCTTAAACTCGGACGGTGTCTCAACAGGTTTCACCTTCCTCTCAACGTCGTCCCATGCTTTGTCTTTTATCCTTTGCATAATGATGTCTTCCAGTCTCATGGTTACTTCTTCTGTCATCAATGGAGCTGAAGAAAAATAACAAGTGTAACTACTGAGGTTAAGAAAAGAGGTGGATCAAATTTATTAATTGAATTAAAGAAACGACTGTTCTTTATAGTAGGCCTATTCATCAATTAAAAAAAGGTTCCTACATGCTTCGATTGACTATTTATTTTTATTTTTCCCAACAAATATTAAATTCTGATGTGTCAGAAAAACAATTTTAAGTAGCCTACTTTTAAATTGTGGATTTTCCTAAATTAACATTTTTAACACTCCAACTAAACATTTTCATCCCTTTAATGCTACCTACTTAAGATGATTAAACGTACAATTTGTAGGCCTATTCTTTCCGGAGGTTATATTTAAAAAAAAACCCAGTTGGCTGGTCAGGAATTTTTTGAATTTTAGAAGATTTTAGACAGCTTACTAAGAAAATCTAGAATCCACGGGGAACAATATATCCATAGATAGCCTAAAAGATCACGACACAAATATTTCACCCTAGTGCAGGCAAATTTTGAGAGCGGGTTCACTCTTGAAAGTGTACATATAATTTTTAAAGTCCTACATAAACTTATTCTTGAATGTTACCAATAACGGCAGTTTAACATAACCTAGTCTCTTACCAGGTCTAACTGATAGATCAAAATCAACAGCCTCTTCCAAAAGTGAGTTTTGCGGCCTCGCTGTAGCCGTAACTTCCCCTTTTAACTGCCATGGTTTTTCTGTCAATGCATCTTCTTCCAATTTTTCAATGACCTTTCCAAGTCGCTCTTGTCTAAGTTCCAACGATGATTTGATCTCATCCTTTTTATTCTTTTTAGATGAACCGCCTTCATTTTTAATGGAATCTTCCTCAGTATCTGAACTGTCATCATCACTTCCAAGCAACGAAAACCTAAAGGAAATCGACACCTCTTAATTTGTAAAATTATAGGATGTTTGGAGGCAATACTGTCATGACGAATCTAACAAGTAGAAATGCCAGTAATGAAAAGTATACTCCTAAGATTCTAAACAAAAGACATAGTTATATTATCAGAAAATGCATCCAAACGGTAACAGATTATTCTTCAAATGGTCAAATAAGCAGTACCTAATGCTAGTAGTACACTATTGCTGAATATAGGCAAGCTAGGGCGAGCACGATAGTGTACCCGGTCTGCTCGTGTATTGTCAGGATAGTTCGCCTCGTCATTATTCGTGCTCGCCTGTGCTAAATTTATTGTCAGTTTTTGGGATGTGTCAAAGAAGACTAGCAAAGGTGAGTGCTGGAAGTAAAAATATGTCTAACCACCAGCAAGCATGTTCGGCAAACAAGGGCGAGCGTGTACTGGATGAGTTTGTGGTTCACGCTCGGCAGCATTTGTCATCATAACTTCAGTAAAAAATTCAGCAAAACATCTGGCCAAACATTCGGCGATAGTGTACTGCTAGCATAACACCTAAATGACTAATATTTGAGCTACTGTTTTAAATCGTTGGTAAAACTAGCATATTATGTCCCTACCTAAGTCAAAGTAGTCTATGTTTCCTTTAAAAAAATCTTCATTATATGATTTGAAAGCAGCAGGGCCACATTTACTCATTATAACTTACCTAACTTTTTTCTTTTTACTGTCTTCAGTAGATTCATCATCTTCATTGTTATCCATTTCATCGTTCTCGAATTCCACATCTTCATCATCCATACTTTCATCTTCTGCATCGTTGTCCTCTTTGACTTCAGTTTCATCTTGCAAATCTCCGCCATCATTGTAAGGAGTCTCAAAAAAATCTGAATACTTATAATCTACTGGTCCATCGTCCTGGAAAACATCAATGGCATTTTAGTTGGTCATTTTTTATCAGAGAAAAATGTTTTAATAATTAACAATAACAAATAATAATTTCTATTACCTCTAGCGACAATCAAAAATGTGCAAAGCATTAAAATCCATACCCAAAGCCGTTATGGCCAATAAGTAATACTTTTGTTGCAGCTACTTTAAGTCTTAAAATACATTGAGCTAAAGTACATTTTAGCACTTCAGTGCGACCGACACCTCAGCCAACTGAGCTACCATGTCTCCTACCTTTGGCTGAATGTGAAAGTGCCGTTCTTGTTTGATTTCAACTGGATGATCATGTGGAAAGTGTCAGACTTTAACAGTCTCCGGGTTCAGGGTAGGGAAAGTGTTATCGGCTTTGCTATTTAATCACAACAATAAAATGAACATTCTGTATTATACAGCTTGCCTATTGTGCCAAAATGGTTACTACAATATATTTTTTCTTTTAAGTTATCATAGTAGCCTAATAAACTTACAATGTTGTTAAAAAGATCAATACTTTCTGATTCTTTGGTGGCTTTGTCTTCATTTTTCTCTTCATTTTGCAAGAAAAGTTCCAACTCGGAAAGTTTGAAGAATTTATCATCTACAATTGATGGTTTCAACTTTCCTAGAAAAATAGAACATTTAAGATTAATTCTGTAGTACATAGCTTGGGATGAATATTACCATCTAAATTCTAAATAGGCCTATTACAATTTTATCTTCCCGTATTGTCACTTGGAGAACAATAATATGTGGTTTGCAAGCGGGACAAACTCTTTTAAAGGGGTCTAAACTATTGGTATGAAAACACTAAAGAAAAAAGGCTAGCTCCTCAAAAGTAATTATCAATTAAAAATAAATAATGTTTAGAGCTTTTATTAACAGTGTGTGAACTTTTAAGAAATTGCTTAATGTTAAATAAACTTAATCTAAATAAATTAATATAAATTATTGTGAGAATTCTTTATTTTGAATTAGGTAGTTCCTTTAATATTTGGCAATTGCTCACTTTCGAGCAAGAGGTCCCCACACTAGGTAGGCCTAATTCAAATGAGGTAACAAAAGAGCCAATCAGCAGTTTTTAAATTCTAAAACTAGGCTAATTGCATCATCTACCTTTTTTGTTACTCTTTTCTTCAGGCTCTGTAATGTCATCCCCCTCTTCAAATTCACTTTCTTCAGCTCCATCAAATTCTTCATCGTCATCTTCATCATAGTTGTCATCATTTTCTATTTCTTCGTTATCAAAAGACTGATCCAAACCATTTTCTTGTTCTGTAGAAGCGGAAGTTTGCGGGCTTTCTTCTATTTTATTACATTTTAACGTCAGCGGAAATTTCAACTGATCTCTTTTCACAGCAAACTGAGATACATTTTCAATAGTGTGATCAGCAACAATGTTGTTTTGCAATTCAAGTTCCTGCCAAATTTGTTCATCATCAAATTGTTCAATAATCAGTTTTGGCAAAGCATTTTTACTTTTGGATTCCTCTTTGTTCTTTGTGAAATCATAAATATCCTTTATTAAGGTCTTTATACTTTCTGAAAGATTTTCTTGAACACTGAAACATATTTAAGCTATTATTAATTCAACTTACCTTATAGGCCTAATTATTTTTGGGACCTATAACTTTTGAATACGTACAACTAGACATTACATCCCCATGTTTATGTTGATGCAAGTTTTTAAGCTCTAAATCGTCGTAGTTGATGTGAGTCACCGACACATGGTGCTGATGTAAATTACTAGAGATTAATTTGGTTAAAAGCCCATACAAGATTTGATTTCTGTCAAATATGCAAACTTTTTACCTAGTTAAACTGACAGAATTAACTTATTGTGAGCTATATCAAATTAAGACCCCTCAACTATGTCAGCAACAAAAAAATTAAGGTGTAAAATGTCATATTTTAGGCAACATCATGTAGCTGGATGAAAAGAAATTGATGACAGCTGGTCCTATAGATAGGATGTCTACTTCAGTACCGGTTTCCAATACAGGTAGTCAATGGTAGGCCTATAACAAAAAAATGTCTGAAAGCTGTTAAGCCTGTTGAAAACTGAGTGACAAGCCTAAACCTACAAGTAAGCTTAAGCATTTGGAACATGTAACGCAACGCTCTCAGACCACACTTATGATGCTGAGACGGACTGTTGGGAAGACATGGGGTCTCAGCCTACAAATTAGTAACTGACAATACACTACGGCTGCAAGACTGATGATGGTGTATGGCTCGGTGGTCTGGTGGACCAAGGTGATGCTAACTACCACTGTAAAGAGGCTACAAAAGATCCAGCCTTAGCATAACAGAAGCCATGAGAGGCACTCCAACTGCAGCCCTGGAAGTAGAGCTAAACCTCCCACCTCTCGAGATCATTGTTAAAGGGGAGGCAAGGATGGCAACTGGAAGTATAGCCTAATGCCTCCAGTGAGCATAAGGATTGTGGACAAAGTGCAGATGGACACCTTGGAAATGCTACCAGACAAGATGGTAAATATCAGATTATCACAGATCTAGAAAAGCCATACAAGTCAACATTGTTGACAGGGCTGCCTGGTATAAAGGTGAACCTGAATATATGAAAACGGGGATCACTTGGTATACGGATGGCTCGAAAAAGCCAACAGGCACTGGGGCAGGAATATGGAGTCAGACCCAAGGCGCAGTTATGCGCAAGCCTGGGAAACTGGCTACTGTATTCCGGGCTGCTGTTGTTGTCCAAGGGTGTGTTTGGAGCATTGTCTGACAGGTCACACCATATACATGAACTCGGACAGCAAAGCAGTGCTATTGGCACTTGACTGTTGCCTTGAATTTAACGCTAAGGCAGTATGGAACTATCATCAGGTCATGAAAGCCATGGGAGAAAAACAACAAGGTTATTCTTAGTTGGGTTCCAGGGCACAAAGGTGTTGCTGGCGATGAGGGAGCTGACAAGTGGACAAATAAAGGAGCTGAAAGCCAGCTTATGGGTCCAGAGCCGACGTGTGCTATTGCTTACAACACAGCACAGAGAGATCTTCACCAGTCGTAGGCATAGAACATCGAAGAAGCTGGGAAGGAAAAGAAGGCAATATTATTTTTTAAATTATTGTAAAATGGTCCAGGTTTCAACCAGTTTCAACGTTATCAAAGCATACTTTATTTAACTTTGTGCAAGATGATTTCAACACTCTAGCGACTCGTGGACACTGGGAGGGTTCAATCGCTTACCTGAGACCTCCCTCCACCCAGCCAGAGCCACGACTAGTCTGGAAATGCTCCGCTACATGGGACATAATCAGTCTTGAAACTTAATTAACATATCTTGTATAAGACGCAGTGCCGCAGCAATCAATGGTTAGAGCAGACTCTGAGCCTAACGTAACTCAACCTAAAATCTGAGATTGATATAATTACTGAAGCATCACAGCACCTAAGATGTAGGCCTAGGATATACTTAAGTAACTTTTTGCAACCAACTTTATTCTTCTAAATATAATACACCTTGCCCCCATTTTCAGAGCTAAGGGGAGAATACATATGGAATGAAGTCGGTGGCTCAGTTGGTACCGTTTAGAGTCACAGACTTAAGGCAGCGATGTCGAGGTTTCGGATCCGCAAAAATTTTACCAGTACAGTTCATCCTTGTACTGTGACCGGCTCACCCCTTGCTTTGATGGATACGTTCCAGGCACAGGCAGTTAGCCATGGAACGATACATTGTTGTCTGGGTTTTGTAGTGCAAAACAACGATAAATCGTTCCGGCAAGACTTTTGACTGTGTAAGTTTAAATGGGCATATCGGTTGACTTGGGGGCTGCACTTTACTTGACGTCCTACACTCATTTGATTGTTTTTTTTCGATTCGATATTTTCATTCGATTGTTTCATTCGATATATCGTTTGGTTAGTTAGGTTAGGTTAACCTTACCTAACTAACCAAACGATATATCGAATGAAGCAATCGATTAATCGATATATCGATCGATATTTTCATTCGAATGAGTGTAGGACGTCAAGTAAAGTGCAGCCGACTCGGGTGTTAAAGTCCATAACGTTACTATCAAACATTATGGTAAGTTACTGAAACTTAGTTCACTTTTCAGATGATAACACTAAAAGCACAGAATTTTACTATTATTACCCGGGAATACTTCGTCAATCGTCACAGAGCACTCCTAGATGATAACACATTAGGTTTAGTGACTTCTGTTCAATGAGGTTAAATAAGTTAGAAACTTACCTTAAAAATTCATAGGGCTTCTTTGACGCTTTTGAAAAGTTGTCTAAGAATTCATTTAAATTTCCTTCCATTATTTAGATTTTAGAAATGTCATTAAACTCAAATTGTAAAGTTAGTAAGCTTATCCACGTTTTTAAATTCCTAACCTTAACCTTACTTTACTTTATTTATTATCATCAACAACATTCAATTCAATTTCCACCTAGAAGACCAAAGACCAATACCAAATCCAATCCAATCCAACCAAACTCCAGTCAGTCCAGTCCAGTCTATCTCCGTCTCCCTCCACCTCCAAAGTGCTCCAAGCAAACCAAATGAAAAATACCCCCGCCGCAGCAAACCTGCAGACTAAGCGAATTTCCATTAACCTGATTGGATTTACACTAAAATGCCTTCATAAAAATAGCACATTTATTTCCTATTTAAATAGAATTAGTTTAACGAGTACTTAGGTTTGCTGCAACAGGGAGGGTAAAAAAGATTTTTTTTATAAATAGTTTAGTAAGAAATAAAAGTATTTTCCAAAATCAATCAAAATATGTTCATAAACAAGCAAACTACAACAGCTAACTTATTCTCCATAAGAATAACATGGGAATTTTAAAATTACAATTTTTTTGAATTTTCTCCGTAACAATTAGGCGCATAATAACGCTTCAATATACTAAATTATTTGTTTTTTTAAGCTCTACAAAATGGTTTAAAAAGAAATTGTGAAATTTTGTGTTTTTACGGTCAAAAATGGGAAAAACCTATTTTTACCCCATAAAACCCCCCATAAACCCCCGTTCCCATAGTCCGATCATGCTGGTTCGCGAACTCGTTCAAGTTTATCCTGCCTTACACCTTCAAACCAAATTTTATCAAAATCGGACAAAAATTACTCAAGTTGTCGTGCGGATGGACACACACACATATATATATATATATATATATATATATATATATAAAAATTTGAACGAATGGTGTTTTTGGCCTCTGGGGACATCAAAATGAAAAAGTAAATCGGTCCCGGGCTTAGGTCTTACCATGAGACCTACGGTAATAGCTACTTCCCTATAGGGAAATTCGCTAAAAAACAAATTTCCTGCTTTAAGAATTTCTTGTGACTATGAAACTGCACTGTTAACTATTCTGCTCAATGCTCATACATTAATGCAATATGGGTCAATTTGTAGTAAAAAAATCAAAAAATAAATTTGTTTGTTTTAGTTGATATCACATTATTGTCACAAATCACTACTTTACGACAAAATAATGATATATAACTATTTGTTACTGTGATAAAGTGAAAAGGCGATCTGAAATATAAAATATAGAATAACAATATAGTTCGGGTTTAGCTGGGAAGCTGAGAGGATATATTCCTAACCATAGACTGAGTATGTTTTACCTCCTCCTAACCTATGGTAGCATTAAGTATACCGTGTACTGTGTGCAGGTCACAAGTCCGATCCTGAGAAATGTCAGTTAATTTTTTGATTGCCTAGTGGTTAGCGTCTTGGTCAAGGCCACCTTTAACTCCAGGAGGCCCCCTGGAAAAATGATAAAAAAGTGACAAAAAAGGGGGGCCCCTGAAATGGGCATTTCATAATAAACTACAAGTTACACGTTACAACTACAATTTCCATTAAATTTGCATTGGGCTATCAGCTGATTTCCTAATTAGTTTGTACTTTATTATGAAATAGGCCCCAGGCCGTGGCCTGATAATTGGCAACGTCGCAAGTAGGATTGTTTAGTGTCAGACGTCCCATAAGATCACATGGTAGACAGGTGACATTAGCACACTTTACTGATTTAAATTTAAATTTATGAACATGAACTTATTAAAATGTTGAAAATAAAACATACAGAATTAAAAACCAATAGAGTAGGTATCCATTGAAAATATATACCTATGTAAATTTTAAGCAGGGCAGGGTCAATATTTTCATAGTCCGGTAACCGGATTAATTTCGTAAATACGCAAATACCATTTTAGCCGCTTCCAAACAAAACAGCTGTTACAACCCTACTTGCGACGTTGCCACTTCGAAGGCCGCGGCCTGGAGTTAAAGGCGGTCGTGGTCTTTGAGTGGTTGGGATGGCTTTGATCACGGCCGCCTTTAACTCCAGGCCGCGGCCTTCGAACTGGCAACGTCGCAAGTGGTGTTGTAACAGCTGATTTTTTTGGAAGCAACTAATGGTATTTGTGTATTTACGAAAGATTGATTACTAGACTATGACAATATTGACTCCGCTTAAAAATGTACAGATATAGATTTTATTTCATATTGTTTCAATTTTCAATTCTGTATGTTTTATTTTCAATATTTTAATAAATTTATGTTCATAAATTAAAAATTAATTCAATAAAGTGCGAATTAATGAGCTGGTGTCACCTGTCTGCCATGTTATCTTATGGGACGTTTGTCACTGAATAACACCACTTGCGATGTTGCCAATTCTACCAGGCCGCGGCCTGTAGTTAAAGGCGGCCGTGCTTTGATTCTCGGCATATCCTAAAAAGTGTTAGAAGTTTGACCGCTTACTCAAGAGTACATGAACTACATCTGCGTGTGTACATGGTAATAGTACAATATACCCATACCGTACTCATACTATTATGCAATAAAAATTGAGAATAATTAATTAATCGATTGTAATGATATTAAGTATAAAACCTTACTTAGTTTAATTAGGAATTTCTTTAGTCAATAGCTTTAGCCCTATTTAGCTTTAGCACTTTTTTGGGATAGTAACCACGCTTTGTTGAAAAAAAGAAGAAGGAACAGAGCACTAGTAGAAGTAGAACAGAACTAAACCAAAACAAAACAAAACAAAAACAGCTTCGTTGTCAACCTAGGACCTAGGGAGGATTATTGGTTTGAATGAGTTTAACGATGTGCTGTTTTCATACCTAATTCTTGTTCACTAAAGTTAGTAGGTCATCCATTCGCTTTTCATCGGATGTAAGTGTAAAGATTTAGTTTTATTGTTTTATTAATCCTTTCAAAGTAAAAAGTAGTATAACTTGGATACAAGTATTTAGTAGTGTCTGCAAAAATAACATGGATCATAAACATAAACAAATAACGTTTTTGGCTAGAAAGTAAACAAAACCATATGTTAATTAATGCTACGGTATAAGTACAAGAGGTTCTACCCTCGCTAATTCACGGGTGTACATAGCTGCCACTAGTGCTACCATTAAATTAATGAAATCAATTTTCATTTTATATTTCATTTAAAGGGCCCAAGTTCGAGAAATTATCAGAAGGAATTTTACAAGCTGCGGGACCATCATACCTTACTTCCTGAAGTGGGCGAGGTCCACCCTCTTTCACAAAGTCCTGTTACAGATCGGTGACAGCCTCTTGGACGACCAACACACTAACACACAACACACATGTAATTGTTCATCTCATATGCATCTTCATTCAAACACCCTAAAGCACTCACTTGTATCAAACAGCTAGAAATAGCATCAGTGTTCATTTAGGGGTACCTAAATGGGGTACCTAAAGTAAACAAAAATGTAAACAAACAACTAATGTCAATTGCATTGACCAGCGTTTGTTCACTAAATTAATCGAATAATGCGTGTAAGGCGTAACCCTTTGGGAATCGGCCTCTGGGGCAGGTCCCTAAGAGAATTCTTTCATACAAATACTTTTTGGCAAATCCACACACTCTGAGCTTCATTTTGATGTGCCATATATGCCTATAATTTTATTTGGTTAATGGCCTTTAACTTACCATTTACATACTTAAGATTTGATTGTTTCACTTTAATACTACAGTATAATAGATAATAGATAGGGGGTTTTGTTTACTTGCGGGCCAAAATTGTCATTTGTTTATGTTTATGATCCATACCCCGTTATTCTTCTAGTATTCCTGGTGTGCACTATGACGAATTAATTATACTTTAGCAATGTTGTATTAGAACCATTAGTTTTATTCCAGAGTGTCAAAAATAAAAGTGGATGGTTTAATTTCGGTGGTTTGGAGGCGCCCGCTGGGTACCTCCAAACCAACCAGCAACCAATCCTGCCAGCACTAGGAAAAAAGGGGTGAGCTGCTCTTGGGTTTGCCCAGGCCTCCATTGACCCTTAACGCGGCCCTGATGATAAGTTATTTCTCGCTTATGAGTGGAATCAAGTTGATTTAAAGCAATTTACAAGTAGTATCGGCTGTTTATTGCATATTGTTCTTCAAGATAATCTCCACAAACCTTCAGCATTTTGAAACCAGATTCTCTTGTTTGACTTTTAATCAAATCAATCATTTTCTTATTAGGTCTTGCTTACTAGTTGTAAGTTGTAACGTATTATTAACTTATCTTAAGTAACCAAACCAACAACCTTCTGTGTGTTACAAAGTCGGGCTGCACTTTAGTATCCGCCCTACACTCATTTGAATTAAAATATCAATCGATATAACTTATCGATTATTTCATTCGATATATCAAATTTGGTTATTTAGGTTAAACTACCTAACTAACCGAAAAAAATAATTGATATATTGAATAATCTATATATTGATATTTTTCATTTGAATGAGTGTAGGACGGATACTAAAGTGAAGCCCAAAGTCTCTTTGATTAGGTTTAAGGTACCATACCTAATGTTTTGTTGGTAAATGGTAATTAAGCATAGTGTACCTAGCCTAACTTAATTTAGGACTTAGATTTCAAATTTCTTTAGGCTAAAAGAGCAATCAACAAATTCTTAGTTTTCAAACAACTTGTCACAACTATTGTCTTAACACAAACATATTATAAGTCGAACAATTTTTCAGCACATCAGTAAACCATTATGGCAAGAGCCCCAGGTTCTAGTCGACCTATTGTAATGATGGATTGGCAGAGCACTGCTGAGGGCGAGACGGTTCTACAACATTTCTACAACCCTCAGACAACGGGACGAAAACTATTTGGTAAATTTATTTTGCTAAGGTTATATATTTTGTTGTGTATTTCTAACTGTTAGTAAATTCTTTGAGCCAAGCCAAATGGTAATCAAAAATCCTCTGACTGTGCCTTTTAGTTTTCCATTCTACATATCTATCTTATTCATTGTAATTTTGTATATTGTAACTTTATATTACGGTACAAAAATATTGTTATTTAGGGAGTAACAATGTACCCTTGTATAATTTTCAACGTGATAAGGGTTCTTGACAAGCTACAAAAGAAAGTAGGCCTATGTGTCTGTTTCCTGGGTGCCGGGTGTTCTCAATTAGCTCATCTCTTGATCAACTAGGCCTAATCAAGCCTAACTGAGGCATAACCTTCCAATATCTGTGTGAATCCTAAAATCTAAAGAAAAGTCTTTTCAGGAATTCTAGAACGTCCGTCTATATTGACACAAGTGGAAGAAGTTTGCTACAAGCTGTTCTTTGTCGGAAAGGCTGGTATCGGAAAGACGGCGACTATAGCAAGACTGGCTGGCACCTCTATCCCTTCAACTTATATAGAAACTGTCGGCATTCGGAAAACCAACATTTACTGGCCTGTGAAGATCTGGGATAAAGTGATTCTCTTTAAACTTCAGTGTTGGGATGCAGGCGAAAACACGATAAAGAAATACAGTCATATTTTGCCCGTAAGTTATTGAAGCAAAGATTTACATAATATTAGTTTCCAGACATTCCCACCTGATTAAAAAGTTCCAGACAGTTGGCAACACTCGATTTTCACAATACTAAATTAAGTTGATAATTTTATTTCATTTGTCTTGTGCAATGGAACATTTCTACACCATTAAGGCTGCGGCCACACGGGGGTTTTTTTCACGCACAAACGCAGCGTGAAAACACGCGAAAAATTAGAGTAGCATTGAAACAAATGGGCGCCCGCAAATGCGGGAAAACACACTGCGTGTGGCATACCTCATTACATTTAATGCTGCTCATATTTCTTGCGTTTTTTCACGCTGCGTTCTTGCGTGAAAAAACGCCCGTGTGGCCGTAGCCTAATTGTCTTGAACACCTTTGTTCTCTAGGTCCTATATCCAATCCTCCTTTAGCGAATTTCCCTATCGAAAATAAGCTATTACTGTAGGCTAAGTTAGGTGGCTCAGTAGAACATAGACCCCAGACCATACTTTTTCATTTTGATGTCCCCAGCACACCATTAATAAAAATTTTTCTTTGATTTACCGGTATGTAAAAATGGTGGATCTGCAAATAAATTAAATGAATTATGAAATGCACTTTTGTAATAAAATTTATGTAAAAACTTTACTATTTCTCTTCTTTTCTTCACAGTCCTGCAAAGAGAAGGTAGATGCCGTAGTTTATGTGTTCTCATACACGGACGCCAACAGCTTCATGGAATTGCCTCAACTGATCAACAAAATGTCAAAAGATGACCCTAACCAACCAGCATCAATCGTTATTGGAACCAGGTAAGCCTAACTGTATATTCTTTGCATGAAACAAATTTTAAAGTAGTATTTTCTTAACACTTGTATAACATTCCAGAAGACATATGGAATGTAGGCTTGAACTTGCAAACTAAATATTAGAATGAATTTTTGTAGCCTTGTTGTTTACCAAAACCTGCCAATCGAGACATGCTGCATGATGGACTTTGTCTATAAACAGATTTCAGGGTTTCTGAGTGTAAAAAATCTTGTAGTACGATTTACATACCACATTCCACTGGTCTACAGATACAATTACTTAATGGCTAGTTCACACATGGGGATTTTACTTGCTGCAACTAGAGTTGTGGATAATAATCGCTATGTGAGAACAGGAAAGTAGGGGCAACTCGTACTCAGTGGCGATTAAAAATTCACTCATGCAGAAAGTCAAGACATGTTAAATTTTTGAGGCGAGTAGTCCCTACTAGGACTAATCAACCTTGAGATTCACGCAGAAATTGTACTAAACTAAGTAGCATTCTAAAGGTATTGGAGTGATTTTAGGGAGTCTCCATTTGCCATATACCTCAAAGTTATTTCCAGTTTTGTTCGGCGTGGAATCACTAGCCTCCAGCGTGTATGTATCAGCCTTGATATTCTCCTTCTTTATTAATGGCGATAACATTTCTAATAACTCCTTAAACTTTAGAAATGTTAACCTCATCATGTTTTTCTCTATCCACTCCCAAACCCACTGACGTTTTTATTCGTTTCTATATCTTCTAATTTCTCGCAAAGTACCTAAGAAATACGCTAGACACAGGTCTCAAAGAGTCTTGCCTTATTCCTACAGACGGCATTTTTCACAGCACAAATATTTACTCATAAACAAATCGTCAAACTCTACTAGCTGCTACAACTCGCCATGTTTGAACTCAGATTAAATTTTGCTGGCGAGTAGTATCTACGACTGTCGACTAATGGTAGTGGCGAGTTAGTCGCCTTGTGTGAACTGATTGTCTTGTAATTAAGGTAGCCTACTGTGAGTTACAACTACAACTTTAGGCTTTCTTACAGTTACCCTAGTATTTCTCCCTTTGGTAGATTCAGATTAACCAGTGAATTGTGGTTAACCTTTAGTTCTCTCTTTGGTAGATTCAGTTCGACCAGCAAACTGGAGGTCGAGCCCTCTGAGACTAAAGAGTTTGAGGCTAAGTTGAGAGTGCCTGTATTGAGACTGGGCAAGTCTACAAGTAGCGACCGCAATGAAGTCCACAAGGTAACATAACATTGATTACATACCCTAGATTTATGATGGGTAATATGGTAAATAAAGACATCACTTATGACTTATCATCTTAATGTATTATTGGACAATTTTATGGTATGTTTCTGTCTCATATAAGTGTATTATGATGATAACCATTATTTTTTATTATCTCATGAGCTCATAACTGTTTAACCATATAAACAATATACAGGGTGTTTATAAAAGAATTCCGGGATTTTAAATAGTAATTGCTTATGGATACTATTCAAGGTAATTAAACGTTTTATACGTCAAATTGAAGCTAAAACAACTAAGTTCTGTTACCCGTGTAGCAAGGGTGGAAACTTTGACCTTGGAATGCGCAAAACAGGTGCGGGGTGGTAGGCCGCTACCGCTATTGAGTCTCACACGCCTGACGCTAGTCGCCAGTGCAATGTTAACGGCGCAACAGAAAGCACAGAGTGTATTCTGTGGTTCACAGAGTTTATACAGATTGCTAAATTAAACTAAATTTTAATCTTCTTAATGATAAAGAAATTTGAAGCTGGATTATTGAGTTTTGTTGAGTTTATTGAGTGAAAAGACATTCACCTGACCGGCTAAAAACAAGTGATGGCATAGTCGAAGAAATCTGACAATTCTGCATCAGAAGCCCCAAAATCGATTGCCCAATGAAGTCTTCAGTTGAACATACCAAAATCAACACTTCATGATGTTATCTGTAAAAGATATAGAGTTTTTGTGCCTAAAACGATTCAATTAAGACATCAGATAAACCCTCCAACCACCCTAAGCGTACAGACTTAGCCAATTTTACGCTCATATAAGATTGGTAAAAATCTGAATTTTATTAAATTATTCCAAATTGTATCAAAGTATGAGAAAAAAGTCTGTTTTTTCCCCTTAAATTTTGATCAAGAAGGAGTTTGATCAGGTTACGAGAGGTTTGAGTGGTGAGCTTGCAAAAAGGGGGGAATTTAAAAATTTAAATGCAAAATAATTAGTTGTAATGATTTCCCTTTATTTACATGGAATTAAATGTCTTTATTTATTTATAATTTTGAAATATCTACCAAAATTTTGGGTAGGCCCCGGCCTACCTGGCCTGCCCTCTGGAGACGCCCCTGTCCCCGAGCAACAACCGTTTTAAATCCTGGCATTCTTTTATAAACACCCTGTATTTATAATCTATTCCTTATCTTCTGGTATTACAACCAAATAGTTAAGACCACACTGTAATACGAGGGTCATCCAGAAAGTAACAAATATTTTGCATTGGCTCCACTTGGAGCAGGGGCTATCCTGAGTATACAGTCGCTTTAGAATATTTACACTTTTGATAGTGGTGTTTTTTACTTTGTCGGTTGTATTTTATGTCATTAAAAATGGAGAGTTACTAGTTTTTGTAGAAAACAAACTTAAAGTTAATGGTTCAAAACCTGACACAGATGTCACTGATTATCAGTCAGTAATAAAGCTGCAATTTCACCCATTCAACACGCTCATTCTTCACTCATCTCCGCCTTAAAATACACACCCTGGTGTATCAGCGTCATTGAAATCTAACCTAAAGCATAAGTATGTTTGATAACAAGGAATTTTTATTAATTCAATGGTTTTCTTTTAATTATTTTCTGTGTAATCTGAACTTTTCTTTTGTTAGCCAAGGAATGTGTAAGACAAGTCATTTTCTGAAAGACTTATGATGCTATGTGTTCGTAACGGAATATATATATATATATATGCCATACTAAGTAATACAAATAAATTAATAATTTTTTTTTAGAGGTTGGCAGCCTCTTTTAACCTTGCATTTGCCCGTCCTCATAGACTAAAGATCTGTGCGTGGAACGTATCCAGCAAAGCAAGGGGTGAGCCGGTACAGTACAAGGATGAACTATACTGATAAAATGTTTGGGGCAGTGACCAGGATCCCAAAAAATCGCTGCCTTGGGCTCGAAGTCCGTGACGGTACTGACTAAGCCACCGACTCGCCAATTACATAACCACTTTTGTTGCAGGTAGCGCCACTGCTGAACTCACTCTGCGAGAGGCTCTGGGTTCGAGACCAGGATTATCTATTGAAACATGGCTTCACTATGTAACTACGCAGAAGGTGTTTGCGCAACTGAAGTAAATGCTGGCTCGGGTGTATATTCTTCAGTTGTACCACCTACTTATACATTTTACTATGGAGAATCGTTGATATACCATTCCGTTGTTAAAGTTGTACACTGCTCATTGATCCTGAGCGTGATCGATCCTGGACCGAAATGCCATTTCTCATTGGCTATGATGCTTATTGCTTTTTGACAAAAGGTCAATGTTAGCCAGGGACAAGGCATGGGTTTTAATCGATCCTTTATAATAAACGAATAAACATAAAAACGCTATTAACATGGGAAAAGTTGTGGTCAGTTTTGGAATGATAACAGAGTCTGCTGTTAATCGTTGATTTCTGTTCAGTGGCGTAAGTTCATTGAGTGGCGCCCCCCCCCCCCCCCCATCTTGTATTACATGTGGATGGTCCCATCTTGTGTAGATGTCCATGGAATACACTGTGGCCGCCCTTAGTTGCCATTGGCTGTATGGGCTATTAATTAACAGTCCTGTCGTCCTGTCTAAGGAACATGTCGGCCTTAGTCAGTAACAAGACTACAAGATCGCACCACTCATCCTACACTAATCTCGATTCATACTTGACTTAAAATACCTACTTTCATATGGTTGGCATTTCAACTAATGTAGTATTTAAGTAGGGAAAGTATTTAAGTATAAACACTAAAAATTACCTGTACAGTTTTGAACTTACTAATTGTTGTCTGTTGCAAATTCTACTTAGATTGATATATTGTTCAATGTAATATCTTATTTATAACGCAGTTTGCAAAAGTTGAAATTTTATATGTCTGTTACTAAACAATAAATGTAATTGTATATTTTTCTAAATACTTTTTTCATTCCCCGTTTAGACACTCCATCCAAAGATCATATAAGACCAACATTGCTTCACGTTACACCTCTCGTGCTTCGTCAATTGGTCTTGTGTGATCGCTGCCTCCACCAAGACTCCTTGCTTGGAAAAAAAATATTTCTTTTAAAAAGAACCTCTTCGAATTTAACTATTCGTTCCCAAAACATGTTCGGTAAATTCTAATTTTATCTCCTCCCCCTATACATATAGTATAGCAGAAAGTATTGTTTTTGTCAAAGTTTCAGGTTCGATTTGTAAAAAATTTGGTTTGAGGGTAGGCCTACTAATTTATGGCGTCTCCAGACTTTTTTCGTTCTTTTGAAATTTTGTTCTTTAATCGTTATTTTTTTATAAAAACCTGTAACAGGCTGTCCACATTCTGGAAAGTCAGGGATAGTCATGGAAATCCCCAATAATGGATGGATTTGAGGGGACCATTCAATGCTCTACTCGGCCGTAACCCCGACTATTGTAGCTTTTTTTAAGGATTTTTCACAAATGTTCGACAGTTACAGCTTGTATTAGTTTATGAGTTTTGAGTTTGTATTTGTTCATTGTTCTACCTTGTACTCCACTGTTATATATTAATACATATTACAGTATTTTCTGCAAAATAACTTTTCTAGGCAGTATTATTTGTGTGTGTATGTTATATTATAATTTTCGAGTAAAGTTCGTGAGCCATGGAAATCAATGGTAAATGGTCATGGATAGTCATGGAAAGTCATGGAAATTAATGACAAATGTTCTGTGGGCTAGTGGACTCCCTGTGTAATAGCCTATAACAAAAATGTTTTTTTTTATGGCTCAATTAATTTTGATTGAAATTAAGTATGTTATATAGTCCGTCTAACTCTAAACAATATGGTACAACTCCCATTGCTGTAGAAATTATGGTTCAAAAGTTATTGCAACTTTTTTGATTTACACATAAAATATATTTAATTCCACCGCTTACCGTAATGAGGGCTGTGGGCATTTTAGTGGGAGAAAGTAGGTCAGATTGCTGATACCGTTTAGTTTACACGTTATAGGTGAGACATTGCTCATAAGATATAATTTTATACTTTATACTGGGGGCCTGACAAGTCGTCCTGTCCTAATGTCGTTTTATGTCAAATCCATGTTCATTTTCAAGATGAGCTCGCTCATATCGCTCAATCACGTCCTGGTTGAAGTTCTTTCGCTACGCTCAACACATGTTATTGTATCCCACAGTATAATGAATACATTTTCCTCCAATGCTAATGTAAAGGCAATTTTTAAAAAAATTTTAAAGTCAAATTACTACTAAACAACGGTTGGATGTATTATAAATTTCCTTACATGAAAACCTTCCCCTGGCACTAAGGAATACAAAAAAAAAGAATCATCCAATTTGGTGCACTCTTCCTAGAGTTATGGAATATTATTTAAACAAATTTCATTTGTATTTATATAAATTGTGATTTTTGTATTTACTTATATTGTACTAAAGTACAATTTTTAAATATAAATTAATCTAAAAAAAAACACTGAACAATTACTCACTACTTAGCCCAGTCAATGAATGCAAAAAAACACCCTTTTTCGCAACTAAATGGTGGAAAGCTGGATTTTTTATATGTGATAGAACCACATGAGAGGTGTATTTTCCCAAAAGTCCCCACTTCTACCCCTTGAGCTTTCCCCCCCACCCCCCTCCAAACATAGAAATTGCAGTGTTTTACGTAATTGATCATAACTCGAATGCTATGTAAGCTATCGAGCTGCAATTTGTTTTGTTTGATTTCTAATTAGTTTTCCTACAACTATTGTGCTTAAAACATTTTTCTAAAACCAATACTTAGGGAGATATAAAATTTAAACTTCGTTAAAAGCTTTGTTTCAGAGTGCAAAATTTTGTTTTTCTCTATGTATACTTTTAAATTGAAATAATACGCAAATATGGTCCAAACAAAAGTTTTAGTACGTTTTTCAAGGTTTACAAATATATTATTGGTTAGTCATCTAGGTGACCGGGTGAAGAGCTGGGCGTCGGCAAAGTGAGCGCGTGCGGGCTAGTTGAACACCTCTGCGCTGCGTCATCGCATCTATCCCAGCCAATAAACGCGCAAACTGCCTTTTTTCGTAGCTAAATAGTGGAAGGCTGAGTTCGTTATAATTGATGGAACCACTTAAGACGTGTATTTTCAAAAAAGTTCCCGATTCTCCCCCTTGAGCTTTCCCCCCAACCCCTTCCAAACGTGGAAATTACAGTCGTTTACTTTACTGGATATAATTCAAATTCTATGTATGCCATCGTAGTGAAATTTGATTTGTATTATTTATAATAAGTTTATCTACAAATTTTTTACTAAAGGTTTTCTTATAAAACTATATACAAAGAAATATAACATTTTAACTTTTGTTCATAATGTTTATGTTTTAGAGTACACAATTTTGTATTACTCTCTATATATTTTCCCAAATAAAATACGCAAAATGTTTAAAAAAAAATTTTAGTATGTTACTTAAGGTTTATAATTAATTATATATTTGGTTAGTCGACTGAACAAACTGATGTAGTGTGGGGCGTCGGCAAGAGAGCGTGTGCAGGCTTCTTAAAGCATCCGCGCAGCTCCGCCCGTCAATGCATCATAATGACCGGCACTGCTATGTTCTCAACTGTTTTATACAAATCCTAAGACTTCCTAATTTGTAGGAACAACCAAAACAATCCTTTACTACCAAAACAATCAGTTTCCAAGCTAAACTGTGACTAAATGAAGCACCTCGCGGTCAGTAAAAAGTTTTCGTTGACCCACTAATCCTTGATACAAACTGCGTACTATCATTGATATGTCCCTCCCTTGAGTTATAGTCATCATAGTTTATTGTTAAATCTTCAGGAGATATCTCTGTTATTGCTACTTTCAAAGTCTACTTGCATTTTCTGAAATCCAATTTAATATTAAAATTGTTCTGTTATTAAGTATCTGTTATCTGTTATGCTGTCTGTTTGTTGTTATTATACTTTGTTAATGTTATCATCTGTTATTGTTGTTACGTTGCTATCTTGTTGTTATTACTTTTTGTTGCAATGATGTTTTTTTCAATAGTATATGTAGCTTCTCTTATTATTTCAAATGCAATTTATCTTTCCATTCTACTGTGCTTAAATATATATTATTTTGTAAATAGTGTATCCGTTGGAATAAATAACTAAATAAATAAATAAATAGTTCTTTATTGGTTTGTGGTAGACATTATGCAAACGTTTAACATCGCTAATAAAGATGAAGGCGCTTATTAAGTATTTTAAAATCTCCTCTATATAGACTTAATAAAACAAATTAGTTGACATTGACTGGTTTTAATTTGTAGTCCTTACCATGATTAAAAATGGCTTATAAATATTACCGACAGTTTTCTACGTTGTTCGTGGTATTATTTTAACCCAGGCTTACAACTCATGGCAGAGCAGAAAGCTAACCCTTGCTAGCGGGAAGCGTGAAGAGAGGGACATATCAATGATAGGACGCAGTTTGTATCAAGGATTAGTGGGTTGACGAAAACTGTTAACTGACCGCGAGGTGATTCATTTAGTCACGGTTTAGCTTGGAAACAGATTGTTTTGGTAGTAAAGTAGGCTAAAAATCAGGAAGTCTTAGGATTTGTATGAAACAGTTGAGAACTTAGCGGTGCCGGTCCTTATTATGCATCGACAGGCGGAGCTGCGCTGCGCGGATGCTCTTAAGCCTGCACGCGCTGTCTTTGCCGACGCCTACACTACATTAGTTTTTTCAGATGACTAACCAAATATATATTTATGAACCTTAAGTAACATACTAAAATTTTGTTTTGTCACATTTTGCGTATTTTATTTGGAAAAAATATATAGATGGTAAAACAAAATTGTGTACTCTAAAACATAAACATTATCAAAAAAAGTTACAATGTTATATTTCTTTGTATATAGTTTTATAAGAAAACCTTTAGTAAAAATTTGTAGATAAACTTATTATAAATAATACAAATCAAATTTCACTACGATGGCATGCATAGAATTTGAATTATATCCAGTAAAGTAAACGACTGTAATTTCCACGTTTGGAAGGGGTTGGGGGGAAAGCTCAAGGGGGAGAATCGGGAACTTTTTTGAAAATACACGTCTTAAGTGGTTCCATCAATTATAACGAACTCAGCCTTCCACTATTTAGCTACGAAAAAAGGCAGTTTGCGCGTTTATTGGCTGGGATAGATGCGATGACGCAGCGCAGAGGTGTCCAAC